TGTGTGTGTGTGTGTGTGTGTGTGTGTGTGTGTGTACACCACATCTTCTTTATCCATTCATCTTGCCCACCTTTCTTTTAAAAAATTAGGTTGTGCAATTTGTCCTTCTATACTGCCTCAGGCCAAATCCAAAAGAGGGTGGGCTGCTGTGATGAGGGAAGTGTCCGTGATCATGATGGTCTTCAGTAGCAAAGAAAAGAAATTCCCAATGTAAATGGCTTCAACAAATAAGGAAATTTATTTAATCCAATAACAAGAAATCCAAAGGTTGAGCATCCATGAAAACAACATAATTAGAGCCTCGGTTCCATTTCTCTGCAACTCATTTGGCCAGACCTTGTGTGTTGGTTTTTTTTTTTTTTAAGATTTTATTTATTCATTTGACAGTGCGAGAGGGAACACAAGCAGGGGGAGTGGGAGAGGGAGAAGCAGGCTTCCCGCTGAGCAGGGAGCCCGATGTGGGGCTCGGTCCCAGCATCCAGGGATCATGACCTGAGCCGAAGGCAGGTGCTTAGCGACTGAGCCACCCAGGCGCCCCGCATTTCTTTGCTTTTTTAAGATAAGAAAGACTTCCCGCAAATTCTCAGAATGTCTCTTTCAGACAATCTTCATTTTCTTCAGATGTCTCTGACATTCTATTGACAAGAATTATGTCTCATGTCAGTGTCTACACTACTTACTGGATGAAGGAAAAAAACCACCATGATTGGTCTACACCAATTAGCACTCACCTGTGGGGGCTGGAGTAAGTTTAGAATCACTGAAGCCCAAGGACACATTTGGGTACTATTAGAAGGGAGGATTTTAGGCTATCCAGAGAACATGCCACAGAGTTCTGAAACGAATGTAACTTTCTACCAGAAGCAACAGTAATCTGTGAAGAGCACATAAAAACGATGAGACAAGAATGTTCGGTCATGGTGTAATAAAGAGCGGCAAGCCCTAGGAATAAAGAAATCCAGAGATTGAGGCATTGCCAGATCCTGTATTGCAAATTATACATATTCAAAGGCACATAAATCTTTGCCTTTGAGGTAGACTGTCTAACCACCCTAGAAAGGGAATACTATGGAGTGAAAGTATTAGGACTCCTAGTTACACATAAATAGGAAGATACGTAGTATCCTACTTATTTATTTAAACCAGAGGGACAGCTGCAGTGTGCCAAAGGACACAAGGAAGAAGAGCAGAGCTCAGAGAATCAAAATGCCTGGACAGGTCAATTCAAGAGTAATCTTGGTCCACACATTCACGAAAACATTTGGAATGCATGGGGAACAAGAAGAGCCCCTCCCCCCACTCACAATTTTCATTTGTTATGAAAACAGTAGAGGGAATAGGAAACACACGTGGGGCAAACTGTGCTGATTGGCAACTCAGTAGCCCTTGCCGATAATGAATTTCATTCTTGTTCACCATCTGCCAAGTGGACATGTTCTTCAGTGATGCTGGGCCCCTAACATTAAGTCTTGATTGTCTAAGCTGTTGTGGTGAGCTCCCTTCCATTGCTTGCGATTGCTTTAGGCATACACATGTGGCCCAGTTTTGGCCACTGAGACATGGGGAAATCTAAGAAAGATCTTCTTCATGAGATTCCAGGGCTGGTGGTCAACATCTTAAGAACAATAGGGGGGCTAGCCTAAGAGAATAAGTTAACCTGTTAAGGATGGGGGAGCAGAAAGATAGAAGGAACTCGGTTCATCATGACTTTGCTGAACTGGTGAGTAAACCAAAGCCATCCTTCCTTTGGATTTCTTTATATAAGAGACAATAATTAGCCCATTGTGTAAACCACTTTTAGTCAGGTTTTTCTAACCAAATAACAGGGGGAAACGAAATAATGGAGATGGAAGCTGAGATCCTAGAAAGCCTTGATAGAAGACCATAAAAAAACAGGTTTCATTTTGCTGAAATCAGATCCCTGAAAAGTAATATCCATGTGGTCCTGGGATAAGTGGGTTTTCTTAATCCCAATGGCTTATACTGCTTTTTAAATACAATGACAGTAACCTGCACAGAATGTGCGTGTGTTCTTGAAGGCCACAGGTGAAAGCAGGAATAAGAAAGGATGATCTAATGATGTATTTGTAAAATGAGAACGGGATATGTACAACATGGTGACTGTAGTTACTAACGTTGTACTATATACCTGAAATTTGCTAAGAGAATAGATGCTCTCACCACACAGACACACACACACACACGCGCGTGCACACACAAATTGATAACTATGTGAGGTGATGGATGTGTTAACTAACCTAATTGTGTAATCATTTCATAATATATATGTATATCAAATCATCAAGTTGTACACCTTAAAATTTATACAGTGTTATTTGTCGATCATATCTCAATAAAGCTGAGAGAAAAAATGAGAACAGACTTTAAGGGAAAATTGAAAATAATGATCAACAAAATAATACCCAAGAGATGAGCCAAATAGCAAATTGGACACAGCTGAAACACAAATTAGTGAGGTGAAAATTCAACTGTGAAGTTCTCCAAGAATACAGGGAGCTGGGGACGGCAGGGAGAGGTACAAAAAAAGTATGAGAGAAATTTAATATTCATGGAGGATACATTCAGAAACTCCAAAATTCTCTTAACTGGAGTTCCAGAAGGAGAGAATAGAAAAAATGTAAAGGTTAAAGTGATCATAAAATTAATAGAAGCAAATATCTAAAACAGGGCACCTGGGTGGCTCAGTTGGTTAAGCCTCTGCCTTCAGCTCAGGTCATGATCCCAGGGTCCTGGGATTGAGTTCCACATCGGGCTCCCTGCTCCACGGGGAGCCTGCTTCTCCCTCTACCTTTCCCCCCAGCTCGTGATCTCTCTCTCTCAAATAAATAAATGAAATCTTAAAAAAAAAAAAAGCTGAAAACAGTTGTCTTGAGTTTGGAATGGCCCATACAGGACCAAGCAAAATTAATTAACATAGTAATGATAAACCCACCCCTACTCATTTCTTGAAGAAATTTCAGAACACTAAGAACAAAGAGAAAATTGTAAAAAGCTTTCAGATACAGAGTAAAAGAAAAATAAAATAGAATTGGGAAAATCTGAAACAAAGGAGAAAAACAAAATCCCACAAAGTAAGAAGACTTCGAATTCTCACTGACAACAATGGATGCCAAAATAAAAAGATCAAAGTCTGTTAACATCAAATTCTACAAGTATGAAATTCTCCATTATTGCAAAGTGAGCAAAATAGAGACATTTTTAAATTTGCTAAGATTCAGGTGAATAGGAATCTTTTTTTTTTTTTGCGCTTTTCCTTCCTTCAGATTCTTTGAATAGGAATCTTTTAAAATAATTACTTGAGTTTATCCTTTAGGAAATGGCCAAATGGAAGATAAAGCCAAGAATTTAAAAGTCAGGCGGTAAAAGCAGGAAAGACACACTGAAGCATAGCTGTTAAATATGTATTTATTGTGAAACCAATCAGTAATCTAAAATTAATGGGGCTGCCATGGAGAAAAAGATTTAGTATATGCTAAAGTTCTTGCCTTTGGGGGAAGAAAGGTAAATATATTGATTGTATCTTTTATTTGTTTAGCTTTTTATATAAAAAATTACAGCCACACATAAAAAATATTATAACAAACTTCACTATAGCCATAATCTAGAAGTAATAATTATTCACATTTTGCCATATTCCTGCAGTATTTTAAAACAATTCCCAGATATTGCAACCCTCCACCTTTGAATATATCAGTATGCATCTTTATCTAAAAGTGACTTTTTACATAACCACAATACCATTATAACACCTAACAAGATAAGAACAATTTCACAGTATCATTTAGTATCCAGTCCATATTCAGATTTTTCTAATTGTCCCCAAAATATCTTTTTACAGTTATTTTGTTCAAACGAAGCCCACAGATAGCATTTGGTTGATATGTCTCTTAAGTCTCTTAATACTTGATAGTCCCACAGCTCACTCCAACTAAAAAAAGGGGGGGAATCCCACAAAGAAAAAAGATCCCAAATTTTTTCATGCAACCAGCTTCTGAAAAAACCAGGTCAGTTGCTAATTAACTTATGGTGAGACCAAGTTAGACAATGACCCACAACCTGCATTTGTTTGTCTCTTTATAGGATTGTTTAACTGGTCTCTAGCCACTGTATCAATAAGAAGTTTGATCTAAAAGTTTGACAAGGTGCAAGTTTAATTGCATTGTTAGAAGTAATATAAGTAGTGGTAGGCACTCCACATTACATCTCATCATGAAGCACATTATGTAAAAATGACCATTTTAAGTGATGCTAAGTTTGACCAGTGGGTTCAGGTGGTAATCTGATCCTCCACTGCTAAGTTCCTCATGCCTTCCCCTTATGATCAATAAGTATCTACAGTCTGATACCTTGTGCTTTGGTAAAGTTACTCTTGGATTTAAAGGAGGGGGGCAGTAAATCAGAAACCATCTAGAAATTAACAAAATGAGAACATTGCCAGAAAAATAAACACAAAAATGGCAGAAGGAATGAATTTATTTTAAAACAACAGAAATCAAAGAATCAGGAGGAAAAGACTTGACCAAAAAAAAAAAACAAAAACTGTTCTTGGAAAAGATCAATAAAAATAGAAAAATATTCGGTAAGTCAGACTGAGAGGAAAAAAGAGAAAGCATGCAAATAAATAATAGGGGATACATACAAAATTATAAGTAAAAAATTTGTTCTAGAAAACATGGGTGAAATTCTGAGAAAATAGGAATGACCAGGTTGGCTCCAAAAGAAATTTTAAAACCCATATTAGTCAATATGAGAAAATCATCTAGTAAAATTAGATGCAAAAGCAACATGAGTCCATTAATGAATGTAATTCACCACATTAACAGATTGAAGGAAGAAAGCATTATGAACAACAACAAAAAAACACAAAAAAAAACCAAAAAAAACCCCCAAAAAACAAAAAAAAAGAAAAAAAGAAAGAAAGCCTTATGAAAATAATTATAGCCAATTCTGATACGCTGATCGCTACATACCTGGACTGTTATAATTGCTTTAACTATATTAACTAACTTCAATAACTAATTTCAATAAATGCTATAAAGGCACGTGATTAAATTCAATCCCATTCCTGATTAAATTATTAAAAGAAATATATTTTAGGGATAAAAAGAAACATCACTATTCTGAGAAAAAAATAAAGCATCTATCAGAAATCTATAACGAGCATTATGTTTGATGGTGGCCTTAGAACTTTTCATATCAAATGTCAGAAACTCAGTTTTAAACAGAAGTTACTTGTTTTTCCACAAGTAACTTGGAAGTTCCAGAGTATTCATCTAGATTGGCAATACCTGGGTCCAAGGGATCCCTACCTGGGAAACAAAAGATTATTCAATTTGCAAAGGTATCACAATTTTGAGATAGCAATGTACCCTGGTGCATATAAACTAAGATTCAGTTTACAAAAAATTCAAATCACATACAAATTTGTCAGATATTGAACCTGTGCCCTTGGCCCTTGATTTTTGCCCTGTCTCCTTCCAACTGATTCAAGATAACTGTGAATCTAGAGAAGCCAGAAGAACCCCCTCTTCCCATCACATGCTTGCCTTATTCTCATTTTTTGTCTCCCCACTTCATCATCACACTGAGCCCTGGCTCAGAGTTTCCTACTTTGAATAAGGTGTTGCCTGAGGAATTTCAGGATCTCTCCCCAGGAGTGCTCCTGGGCTGCAGCGTGGGCAACAGGGTCCCCTCCCCAGAGCAGGAAGCAAGAATAGTTCTTGTTTGGGCAGGCATAACACAGGGGTGCATAGGGCGGCTCAATGAGATGGCCCGCCCCAGGGTACAACAGCATCCTTCCATTGTTTCTCCCGTGGCTCCAGAGCTGGTGCAGGGCCTGCTCAGCATACTTCCTGCTATTCAAGCATTCATCATTCTCTCCAACCACGAAGAGGATCGGACCCTGGGCCTTTTCAATAGGAAGCACGCTCTGCTGACTCAGTTCATCCTGGGGGTCCCCCCTGTAGTGGCGGAGGCGCAGAGACCCTGAGATGTCATACTGCATGCGCTCCATAAACGAGGGGATGGGTGTTATAACCAGATCTTTGTACCTGAGCGGAAATTCATAGATGGCATTGGGCCCATTGATGCAGATGGTGGCTACCACCTGCTTCAGGAAGCAGGCCATGGCCAGCCCGATCTCTGCACCTTTGCTCACAGAGATCACTCCGATTCCTGGCATTCGGACCTGCAGCACAAAATAAAGGGAACCCATCAGATGCCATACTCGAAGGAGCTGCCCTGCAGGCCAGTAAGCTAGTGTCATGGAAACGGTCAGACAATATGGGCTGGGAATCCTAGCGCTGGGGTTTACCAGCTTCTGTGACTGAAAACATTACCTCTTTGCCTTCTGGAAGCCTTATTGTCTTACGGGGGTGATAATATTCCCTACCCTGCAGGATTGTTAGAAGGATTTAGTGAAACAATAGAAATAAAAACTCTTCATCAAAGGCAGAGTTCCATAAAAGCAAAAAGAGTTTAAATGCACCAGCAACATTCAACATCACCTGTAGAAGCAGGTAAACTTAGGAATCAAATTCTTCTCTCCAGCTAGGAAAAGAGGTTTCCCGGGTTCTTTTGAATATTATGTAGGTGTTATTCATATTTATATAGCAGTTTACAGTTGCACACGTTTTGCACATCCATTAATCCAAGAGCTAATCATGAATTCATTGGGAGGGTAAAGATGAAAGACTCGAATTTTATAAACAATTGAATTCCAGCGCCCTGTCTAATAGGAAAAGTAGTAGGTCATAGGAAGGGGCCCTTAATTCTGTGGAACGCTGAGGGAGCAGAGGGAAGGAAGAAGTTTGGCAGATAAGTAGGGAAAGGAAGGGCATTTTGGACAGAGAGAAGCAAATACATAGCAACCTGATATGTTTACTTTGCTTACAGTTGTATGCCCAGCACCTGTCATCAGATCGCCTAAAAAAAAAAAAGTTTTGTTTTGTTTTTTTTAATTAGAGCTTTCTGAGATCCAGTTTTCAAGTTTCTACTGCAATAGGTCTGAGTGGGCCCAAGAATCTCATACTAGTGCATATCCCCCCAGGAAATCCCGTGTGCCTCTACGTTTGGGAACCATCCGTAAGAAGAACAGACTTGGGAGCGAGGGAGGAGACTATCATCACTGGAGACGGGGAACTACACAATGGCGGTACCACAGGGGGGCAGTGATGAGGCAACAAACTAAAACAGTGGCAGGGAGCGTGAAGAAGGTGTGACGTATTGAGAAAGATTGGGGAATAGACCCTAAAGCACTTTGGGACTGGTTGAGGATGTAGGGAAGGGAGAGAGGGGGAAAATTGATGGGCAAGGATGACAAGGTCGATTTATTGAGAGTTTACCGTATGCTTGGTCCTCAGCTAAGTGCTTTACACATAAATTGTCTCGGTTTGTCCTTCCAATAAGGACCCAGAGATTCAGGAAGTCTACAAGTCTTGCTTAAGGTTACAACAGTATCAAGGGGCAGAGGTGGGAATTGACTCTCTTCTGATGATACCGAATCTAAATTGAATTTTGCCAATTGCACTTCCTCTTCGGATAATGTCACAAATAGGGACATTTGAAATGAAAAAAGAATGTTTTTAAACTTGAAAACATTTTATCTGGGATTTAATTCCTTCCAAACAATCCTTTAAAGAGAGCCAAATATGCTTAGAAAAATCACACATATATTTGATGCCGATGATGGCAGTAACACTGAAGATGAAGATACTGATAATATTCTGATAGGAGACAGGGCCTCGTGCCTCCTAGAGAAGAGTCAAGGCTCTCCAGGGAGAGAGTGATACGAGTCACTGAGTCAGGATAACCTGATGGTTTGGAGCAAAGACATTGCCACAAGGGCTGTCTAGTTCTGACACATGACTTAATCTGAGTGTGCCTTCTCATCTGAAAAATGAGGATGTCCACAGTACTCACATCACAAAGTAATTGTGAGTGTTAAATAAGAGTGCTTTTAGAGTATTTAGCAGAGAGTCAAACAGAGTCGTTTAATAAATGTTAGCTGGTATGATTGTTTTACCATGACAGGTTGAGCCATAGAACATAGCTGATATTTGAACGTTTTCAAACTGGAAAACCAGAATTATTATGTTTCAACTTAACAGAATGTCAACCCAGACACCTGACCATGTGATATTTATTCCCATGTGTCTGTTTTTAGTCACTAACACAAACATCAGTCCTTCGAGACATCTTCAAGAGGTCTAGATTATAATTCATCTAATATTTATATTATATCCTAGAAAAAAAGCTGGATTAAGAGATGTACTAGTTCAATCCTTCTCAAATGTGAATGTGCATCTGCATCACCTGGGGATCTTGTTAACATGCAGATGCTGGCCGGGCTGCAGCCTGAGAGTCTGCATTCAAACAGCTCTCTGGTCACACCAAGGCCTCTGGACAGTGGACCACATTTTCGATGGTACAACAATACTTGACAGAGTACTAAAATGATCCTTCCTTTCTAGATTCCTTTCCCGGCTTGGGGCCTTGGATACTTACTTGGGGCTTAGTTCTGCCCCTAGATCTGATACTAAGTGAAGAGCTAATTCAGCTAATCTGATGGTGCAGCCACCTCCATTCTGCTGATAATTCTGCTCTGATCCTGTGGCCCAGCTCTAAAACTGAACTTCTGCGCATCCTCAGTCTCAGGAGCATTACCCCATGCAGAGGCAATCATTGAAGTTTGAAACCACGGCAAGCCAGAGAATTCATCATTTGAGATCAGTGGCTGATAAAAATTGAAGAGCCACTGATGAATAAGTCACATGCACTTCAAACGTAAGGAGTCTTGGCTTTTTTTCTCCCCTGCTGAAAATAACCATAATCTATCCACCCTTTATTGTCTTTTGTGCCAGGAAGCTGATCGGCAACCCAACAATTCTACGAGGTCGACATTATCATCCCCATTTTAAGGGTAAACTGTGCTATGCCCAAATCTAAACAGATTGGTAAAATAGGCAAAACAGCCATTTCTGATTCTTTTTTTTTTTTTGCTATAATGTTGCAAGGTAGAATGAAAAGTATTCTAAATTACCTTGGGATGAGCTAGTAGCAAGTTAGCAGCTTCCTCAAAATATTCCAGGTCGATCTCCTGCAGTAAATTGGGCAGATCTTCGTAGGCAAAGTAGGCTAAGGCCAGCACTGCAAAGCCATGCGCAGCCAAAAGACTGGCCCGAAACTCAATCAGACCCCCTCCGCCCCCAAACAAATCAATGACTCCTGGGAAAGGACCTTCCCCTGAAAGCAACAAAAAGAAAAGAGAATGGGATCAGAAAGAGTGGAAGGAGGGTAAAGTGGCTAAGAGGGGAAGTACAAGGTGAACAAACTGAATTCCACCTTCACACACACACACACACACACACACACACACACACACACACACACAAAATGGCATGTTGCTTTTAAACTATTGTGAGAAATAATAGTTCTCCAATAATGTGATGCCATTTGTTTTTGTTTTCATATTCATCAACATTTCCTATATCACCAACGATTAGTCTCACCTGGAGGCAGGAAAAGGGCTCCTCGCACCCGACCTTCTCGGATCTGCACACGCTGTACCCCAGGGGCTGAGAACCAGCGCTGGACCACCTGGCTGGCCATGGGCTCACCTATGATCAAATCTTGGAAACAAACTGAGTCATATAGGTTCAGAGTGACCCAAAAGGGGCTGTTCATCACATCCTTCTTAAGCAGCCTCCTGAAACCCTTCTGGGGCTTCAGAGACCAGAAGAGGCCCATCGGGTGGACCCCCACGTAGTCGCCTCCACATGCAGGAGCCCGCATTAGGTCCAGCTCACCAACCTCGTTCGCCTTGTAGAAGGCTTTGGACTGGTACACATTCCCCTTCTCATCCTTCAGAGACGCCGTTAGGGTCACCAACTGCAACGGGGACAGGCCTGTCACTTGGATATGCACTGGCTCATCTGCAAGGGCGCTTGCTGGGGTGGCTGTCAGCTGGAACATTGGCAGCTCACAAAGGGACCAGGTGGTATTCCCTGCCCTGGAGGGTGAGAGGAGACTTTGAGTTGGAGACCGAAATCCCAGGAGAAAGATCAAGACAAGGCTTGCATTAGGTCTGGCCAAGCTCTACTTCTAGAGACCTCATGCAAAATATATAGAACATTAGGAGGAGGGAAAAGAAGACGTGCAAGAGGACTCATTATTCTCATGTTACACATGAGGAAACAGGTTGAGTGACATGCTCAAAACCTCATAAATAATTAACAGTAAAACTAGAAATTCAAGCTAAGGCTGATACCTGCAGCCTCCTCTCTTATCCATTATAACACTGTAGTAAATCTTCATTTTATGGTTTGGGGTAAATTAAGCTTCAATTCCTCAGTTGAGATAATACCCCTGTGACCTACTTCACCAGGTGTTTGTTAGGATCTAAGGAGGTAATGCATGGAAAAGCCCTTACAGGAAGGATCAGTGCTACTTTTCAAGCCACATACCTACCTGGGTAGAGTTACATAAACAAGAAATATACTATGGTGTTGTATATTTTTTGTTTTAGTCTCTAAATAAGACCAACTTCCAGCTTTTTTGTGTGTTCCCATTATTTATTCCTTTTAAGGGAAAATAAAACTCCATGATCTTGTCTCTGCTTTTATGCCTTTCTGATGGACTGATAAATGTCAAAATATCATTTGTGGTAAAGAGACTGTAAAAGACATTGGGTCAGCTATTTCGTTCTCTGCTCCATTAATGAGCAAAATCTGGGGTATTTCCTCCTTCTTTACATCCTTTCTCCTTTCCTTTCTTCTCTCTCTCCTCACTTTTCTCCTTTCTTCCATACCTCATACTCACCAAAAAAAAAAAAAAAAAAAGGTTGAACCTATTTACAGATAACAGATGCAGAGTAAAATAAGAATAAAATAGAATTGGGAAAGTGTGAACCAAAATCAGGCATTGGTCAAAGAAAACCTACAGCATGAAAAGTAAAGCTTTTTATGGACTGTGAGTTTGGCACAGAATTCGTGACAGCCAAAGGAGAAAAGGTAACTTGGTCAGTTCCATTATTCTAATTATTATCATAGAAAAAGTTACCAGGTCCTCAGGGGAAAGGAAAAAGAGAGGTCTTTCCAATGTTTAGCTCTATAAGAAATTTCTTATATGAAACTTTGACATAGGTATGTGCCATTTTTTTGACAAAATCTTGATACAAATTATAGTGATGGAAAAGCCTCCTAAAGCCCAGGGATGGAGACTCAACAGCTATGTGGATACCATGTGACCTCAACCTGGGGCCACTGAGGATTGGATCAGGGCTGAATACCTGATTCAAGATGCGCCAGGGATATTTTTCCCTTACCTATTTAGAATGGGGACCCAGAGATCACCAGTCACTCTGATTTGTCAGAAATTCCCCATAATGACTCTGAAAAACAAACTGAGGGTTCTAGAGGGGCGGGGGGGTGGGGAGATGGGTTAGCCTGGTGATGGGTATTAAGGAGGGCACGTTCTGCGTGGAGCACTGGGTGTTATGCGTAAACAATGAATCATGGAACACTACATCAAAAACTAGTGATGTAATGTTGGTGATTAACATAACAATAAAAAAATTTAAAGGAAAAAAAAAGAAATTCCCCATAATGGTCACTCTTACTCTATGTGTACATTTTTGCTATTTCCACCAAAGTGTGTGCCAGAGATTAGATGAGAGTGACATTCCTATAAGAAGCAGTTCTCTCAAGAAAACTATATGGATTTGACAAAAACGAAACCATGAAACAAATAAACGCAAGAGAGAAAGACAACTTGTCAGGCCAACAGTGTGTGCTTGTGAATGCTGTCTCGGTTTCCCTACCAAAGACAAAGAAGGGACCAGATGATCAGTAACCCCATAGTCATTGCCCCTTGCAGTATGGGCTAAATAAAGTCAGTATCTTTCACACCTTCTATCTTGTGATGGGTGTACCTTTGTGAGGACTCGGTAGGCATCCAAGGCAAAGTTTGACAGATTGCCTTCCCAGAAGTTGGCTGTGAATCTAACAGTCCTCAGACTTAACAAGCCTCTGTGTCATCATTCCCTTATATTCAAGAAACAAGAAGAGTCCAGAATTAAAATACACACATACACAACACACATGTGAAAGAAGACTTGGTACCTATACACCTGGGGTTCTGAGGAACCCTGAGGTTTTGTGAAATGTTACTAAGGGGTTTCCACTAGAGTTCTTAACTGAGAGAAAAAGAAACTGTTTTTGAACTTCAAGTGTCATGTGATTATGGTGCACATAATGATGGATAGTGATTGAGTGGTCCTATTAGTGATTTCTTTACAAGTTTTTCATCCCATGAGGGCAGTGTCCAAAAGGATCATGTTCATTTTCGGTTTTGGATCCAAGACAGAGGAGGTCCTTGATGGTTAGTGAGCACTCTATTGCATGGGGAGGATGGTAGGCTGATGATGTTTGCCTCTCCTTCCTCAATCACGTACTCCAAACTCCCTTTCTACTTTGTGAAATGAGTTAAGGTAGTAAACAAACCCTACTGCTATAAGGGAAAATTGGAGGGAAATTTGCATTCCAAAAAATGAATTCTTACACACTGCAACTCCTCTGAGCTCCGACACTTTGCTATTATTTGTAAGCATTGCAAAGTGTGGACTGAGTAAGAAAGGCATCGTGAAGTAGGGGCAGGATCAGAAGAGCATTGTAATAGGAATTGTTTTTTGAAGAATTTTTCTCAGGGCACCTGGGCGGTTCAGTGGGTTAAGGGTCTGCCTTCGGCTCAGGTCACAATCCCAGGTCCCAGGATCCAGCCCCACATCGGGCTCCCTGCTCGGTGCAGAGCCTGCTTCTCCCTCTGTCTGCCTCTTGAAAATAAATAAAATTTTTAAAAATCTTTGAAAAAAAAAGAAGTTTTCTCCCTTGGTTATTTATTATACCGCTTTTATATTTTAGTAAGCATTTGCCTTTTATAAACATGTCTGATGGTCCAATAGGCTGATTTTTGAAGATAAATTTAAAGTGGAAGAAGAGGGCGCCTGGGTGGCTCAGATGGTTTAAGTGTCTGCCTTCAGCTCAGGTCATGATCTCAGGGTCCTGGGATCGAGTCCCACATCGGGCTCCCTGCTCAGCGGGGAGTCTGCTTCTCCCTCTACCTCTCTCTCTGTCTCTGTCTCTCATGAATAAATAAATAAAAGTCTTTAAAAAAATAAAAATAAAGTGGAAGAAGAGGATTAAAGGACCAGACACATGTCTCATGAGATCAGAAATGGAGAATTACCATGTTCTGAGTCATTTCACAAGAGTCGACACGCCAAAAAGTCTGTCTTTACAATGAAGCTACCAACCGATGGGATTTACACTAGCTGGTAATATAAGTTGTCCTGTCCCATGTGCATTGTCTTTAACAAATAATTTTAAAATGCAGCAACGGCTCCAGGAAAACTGAAAAGGCAATCATACACCGCAATCATTTGACAAGTAAAGGGCCTGGTTCTTTTAAATGGCTACTGGAGGGCGCCTGGGTGGCTCAGTTGGTTAAGCGACTGCCTTCGGCTCAGGTCACGATCCTGGAGTCCCAGGATCGAGTCCCGCATCGGGCTCCCTGCTCAGCGGGGAGTCTGCTTCTCCCTCTGACCTTCTCTCCTCTCATGCTCTCTCTCTACCATTCTCTCTCTCTCTCAATAAATAAATAAAAAAAAAAAATTAAATGGCTACTGGAATTCTACTCTCCCCCTTGGTTCCCTTTTTTTCTCTAACAGCAAACATTTATTGGGCACTTACTAAAACCTAGCCGCGGGTGATATTAATTCCCATAATAAAGCCTTTCCAATTTTCAAGGTCCTTTCCTGGTCATTATAAGTTAGGAGATCAAACTCAGCAAGTTAAGTGACTTACCCAAGTTTGCCTGTGTTAACGGTGCAACAAGAATTTTAACCCATGCTATCTGACCTTCCATGTAAATCTTATTTTCCCCAAATGACAGTAGAAATGTGAATGTGCATTTTTTTTCCTGGCCTCTCCCACCCTTGTTTCTTTTTTACTACTTTCTTGTCTTTGGTTTCATCTTTTCCTTTTCCCTGACTCTGAAGCTTTTAGTGACAGATACTGCCTGAAGCATAGTATGGCAGGACTGATAATAGAATAGTAGGATTGAATTTTAGTCCACAAACCCACATGTGCACAAAATGCGATGTTTTCCTATTATTCTAGATTCAACGTAATTTCTCTTTTGAATCCTTGTTCCTCCAGGTGGCAGAGATGTACTCACAGAATTTAGAGCACTCTGCTTTTCCTTGCAGTCCAAGTAAGTCCCAGTGACTTGTACAGTGCTAAAACACTTGGCCGAAACGCCCTGCTCCTATGTTTTTATGCCTTCTTCCAAAACCAATTTTACAATGAATGCCGAGCAGGTCATACCAGTTTGCAGATAAAGGTCAGAAGGAATGCAATATAAGACTGTAGTGAACTGGGGCACCTGGGTGGCTCAGTCGTTAAGCGTCTGCCTTCGGCTCAGGTCGTGATCCCAGGGTCCTGGGATCGAGCCCCGCATCGGGCTCCCTGCTCGGCGGGAAGCCTGCTTCTCCCTCTCCCACTCGCCCTGCTTGTGTTCCCTCTCTTGCTCTTTCTCTCTCTCTGTCAAAAAATAAATAAAATCTTAAAAAAAAATGCTTATTGATTGTGCTTCACTTCATTCGCATAAACTCTCATCCATTTACCTAATTCTTCTTCCCTGTTTACAGGCTTTTTCACTTCCCAGTCTAACCTCTGCAATATTGTCAGATCTCAACACAAAAATAATCGAATCTCTCTCCTGCTTTAAACTTCCAATGGCTGAAGGGTGATGGGGTAAGTCCAAATCCTTTGGCCTAGCATTAAGACCCTTTGCAGGGGAATGGTTCCACCACAACACCCCGGACGGTTTCCCTGTGTCCGCAGGCAAAACTTGTACCACCAGGCCTTGCAATTGCAAGAATGTGGTAAGAGAGGCAATCTTTCGAGGGGGCTTCACAAGATTGTTTTCTCACCTGTCTCTCTTATCCTCTTTTTTTTTAAAGATTTTATTTATTTGAGAGAGAGAGAGCACATGAGAGGGGGGAGCGTCAGAGGGAGAAGCAGACTCCCCGCCGAGCAAGGACCCCGATGCGGGACTCGATCCTAGGACTCCAGGATCATGACCTAAGCCGAAGGCAGTCGCTTAACCAACTGAGCCACCCGGGCGCCCCTCTTATCTTTTTTTTTTTTTTAATTGGAATAGAATGGACATATGAGATTAGTTTCTATACATTACCAAATGATCAGCGTGAAAGGTTTAGTTACTATGTGTCATCATACAAAGTTATTACAATGTTATTGGCTATATATTCCCTATGCTGTACCTGATGACTTATTTATTTTATACGTGGAAGTTTGTAGCTCTTAATTGTCTCTCCCTATCTTACAGGAGGCCGCTATGAGACAGCTTTTCCACCCACCTCCCTGGTTCCAGAGAGGCATAGAGGACTTTGGGGCACGGCTGCAGGCTCTGTGACAGTTTTGCTGCAGTCTGGAGTTGGATCCTCAGCAACAGGGTAACTGCAACTGTGTTGAGGTCACGGGGCCCCTTTTGTTTCAGAGCCATCATTCAGGACTCAGACAGCAGGTGCCTTTGGCTTCTCTTGCCTTCATTATCTATGTAAATAATAAACTGTCTGAATCTAACAGGGGCTCACTATTTCTTTACCAGCTGAATCTGTCAGTCTTGGAGTTGGACTTCCCTTTGTGTTTGGTGCCCGTTATAACAATCTGATTCAATCAAAGCTTTTACAAGTCACCCCAACCTACTTACTAGTCCAACCATCTCATTATTACACTTAGCTTATGATATTGTAAAAATCTGCTTCTTTATCTCCCTCCCTTTTTGCTCTATCCAATGTAGTAGCCTCCAGCCACATATAGCTAATTAAATTTCAATGTATTAAAAACAAATAA